CAGGGGCTGTTAGAGAATTAGATGTTCTGGGTTCTTGCACATGTCTAGAGGCTCAGGAAGGGCCTGGGAAAGTGCCATTTACAGTCCCGTCACTGCTGGGTCTCTCACCTTTCATGTAACCTGCTTCTCTGCTGTGGGTGTTATTTTATTTGTGTTTAAATTATTTTATTTTATTTTATTTTATTTTATTTTATTTTATTCTACCAGGGTACTTTACCATTGAGCCACATCCCGACCACATCCCATTTTGAGACAGGGTCTTACTAAGTTACTTAGGATCTTGCTAAATTGCCGAGGCCGCCCTTGAATTTGTGAGCCTCCTGCTTCAGCCTCCTGAGCTGCTGTAATAACAGGCATGCACCACCATGCCCAGCTATGGTTGTTATTTTAAAAGAGGCTGAGGCCAGGTATGGTGGTGCACACCTATAATATCAGTGACTTAGGAGACTGAGGCAGAGGATCATAGGTTCAAGGCTAACCTCAGCATCTTAACAAGACCCTGTCTCAAAAATAAAAAGGATTAGGTATATAACTCGTGGCAAAGCACCCCTAAATTCAATCCCCAGCAGCCCCTCCCCCACAAAAAAAGGAGGTTCAGGAGAATACTCACCCAATTGGCTATTGCTCCTCAGGGAGTAAAAGCCCCCAGAGTGCATTATTATTAGAACATTGGAACTAAATACCTGTTTGCTTAAGCCGTTCTTGGTTTTCAAAATGATGACAGCTGGGGTTCCACCAAACTGACTATTCCTTTAGGCCCAGAGCCCAACAGCTTGTGACCAGTGAGCTCGTGGGGCAGCATGCCAGTAGGTGAGATCATCTTGGCCATGCTTGCTTCCTGGAGCTTGCTGCAGGGTGTACTGATCAGCCTGCAGTGACTTCAGCTTGTCTTGTGCTATCTGAGGAGAGCTGGCCCTGGTCTGATGTTCAGAGAGACATCAACTGCAAGAGCATGACCTCTCCCATCTTTTGGAAACTGAGGCCTCTCAAGAGTTGTCCAAGTCATCAGTATTCTCACTGTCAGGACCAGAGAGAATGCTACAGGACAGGATGGGTCATTGAGCCATCATTCAAGTGTGCTAGGCACCAGGCCATACCCCTGTTGTAATCCCATGTGTGTCTGGCAGAGGTTGGGAGACCATGAAAATCATGTTAAAAAGGATGACGTAGGCCGGGCGAGGTGGCACATGCCTATAATCCCAGTGGCTTGGGAGGCTGAGGCAGCTGAGGCAGCTGAGGCTGATTGAAAGTTCAAGCCAGCCTTAGCAACTGTGAGGCACTCAGTAGCTCAGTAAAACCTTGTCTCTAAATAAAATACAAAAAAGGGCTGGGGATGTGGCTTGAGTGCCCCTGAGTTCAATCCCCAGTACCAAAAAAAAAAAAAAAAAAATCATGAAGTAGGGACTTTAAAGCAGCAAAATCATTCAGCCAGGTTTAGCCAGCCTATGTCTGAGTGTGGGACTGAGACCCCAAGTTTGGAGCTCCTGCAATTATCATATATGGCTTCTGGAATAAAGGGTCTCTATTGTCAGGTCTTCCTTTTTATAGGGACAGAAAACAGCTTCCCCACCTCTCCTGAGGGAGAAGGGAAGGGATCCCCTTAAAAGGTTTGAAATTTTTCAGGACAAACCTGCTCCTAACTCCCATTCAGTGTTTATGGAGTCTTAGGGTCACAGGTGCCTTCACAAGTAAGCATAGAACACCTTGTTGAGTGTAAGTCAGAGAGGGTCTATCTAGTTGGATCCCTGCTCCCCAGCTTGAGTCTCACATACCCTATTCATGTTTTTCTAGCAGCCCAACTGATACTTATGACACATCAGTTACTAAGCAGTGAATATTTCAAAGGCAGCTATGAAAGACTGCAACTATATTGTGCTGCCTACAACGTCTGTCCCCAGCTCTTGGATATACGATGAGACATGGGCCAAGAGGGCAGAGCAGATGTATGTGCTAAAACATCAATATCAAGTTTTTAAAGTAACTAAGCATAGAACTGGAGGGTCTTGGGACTCTACCTTTCTTCCTGTGTCCTCAGAAGCCTATGGCATGGACCTCTCAGAAATACGTGACTACAGTTTATAGATGAGGCAGGGCCAAGGTCGCACAACTTGTGAGTAACACAAGAGGAATTTTTGATTCCTAGTTCATTGAGCATCACCTTCAGATAAAAGTTCAAGGCAAAGCACTTTAATTTTTTAATGGTTCTATTTTATCTCTATTATTCATTTGTTAATAATATCTGTTTTTTTAAAATGTATCTTTTGCCTTACAGTGAACAAAATACATCTCTAACAATAGTCTACCTTCGAAAGATACTGTACTACTTCATGAGCAATGTTCTTACATTCCTCCCATCTTTTAGACTGTTTTCATTCATTTTGCTTTTACTTATGCTACTGGCCTACACATTGCTACTGTTTTGGTTTAGAAAGTGGTATGGTATTTTAGTAAAATTAGAAATAAGAGGAAAGGTCTTTTATATATTTACTGTCACTTTAACTATTTATGGTTAACTTTGTTTCTCTGTGTAGATCCAAGTTTCTGTCTGGTTTCATATTTTTTTCTATCTCAGGAACTGCCTTGAACATTTTTTGTAACTCAGATCTACCATTAAGAAATCCTCTGTTTTTGTTCATCTGAAGAAAAGCCTTTGTTTCTCCTGCATTTGGGGGGTGGTATTTTTACATCTTCATGTAGAATTTTGAGTTTTTATTTATTTATTTGCCCTTTGAAGATAATGTCTAGGGCTAGAGGTGTGGCTTAGTAATAGAGCATTTGTCTGGCATGCATGAGGTCCTGGAAGTCATTGAGAGTTTTTATCTTTGGCTTTCAGCAGTTTGAGTAAGCACAGATATGATTTTTTTTTTCTTAATATGTGTGCAGGAGGTCTTTTCCCTGTTTGGTGTTCTTTGAGCTTCTTGGTAATTTGATGTCTTTCATTATGTTTTTTAATTGTAGTTGTAGATAGACAGAATGCCTTTATTTTGTTTATTTTTATGTGGTGCTCAGGATCGAACCCAGTTCCTTACACATGCTAGGCAAGCGCTCTGCTGCTGAGCTACAGCCGAAGCCCCATCTTTCATTATTTTTGATGGTGTTTTTGGGGGTGGGGGTGGGGCTGGGGATCAAACCCAGGGCCTTGCACATGCTAGCCAAGCACTATAGTCATGTCTTCAAATATTTCTTTAGTCCTGTTTTTCTCTCATCTCTTATGGTGAGCCCAATTAATGGGTTAGATCATTTGGATGCTCTTGGATATGCTCTTCTGAAACAACCATTCTGCCACTTTTTCTCTTGGAGTGGATTATTTCTGGTGACTTAGTTTCAAGTTTTGCTTTTTCCTTCCACAGTTGCATCAAGTCTGCTAAGAAGTCTGGTAAAGGTATTCTTCTCTGTTAACATTTTTTCTTGTTGTTATTTTCCCTAGCATCCTTATTTGACTCTTGCTTATAATTTCCATCTCACTCCTAAAATTCTCCCTCAATTCATGGGGTAATGTTTAGGTTTCCACTATAGCCTTTAACATACTAATCATATTTATGAATCATATTACTCTGAGTTAATTCTAACATCTGGATCATCTCTGAGTTTGGTTCTATTGATTGTTTTATCTCCTAGCAACACTTTTTTTTTCATTCTTTGTCTTTCTTTTTCTTGGTATAGGTATCTTATAATTTTTATATTTAATACCAGATATGGTGAAGGAACAATAAACTGAAATAAATGACATTTATGCTCGAAATGGTCTTCCTTCTTCTATTTCTAGGCTATCAGGGGAAGTTGAGTTAGGTTAATAAGAAGTTGAGCTGGCTTGGAAGTTGTTTTGCTTTGGTTATCTTAATTGCACCACTGGCTTTGTATTCCCTTATGTTACCTTGTACTTAAAGTGGGGTCTAGTTTGCCTAAATTTTTTTTAGATGTTCCAGTTCTACCTTCCACATTAGGACTTCATGTGCACCTCAGGGAGAATCTCCCTGCCTGCTCTTGCCTACTCTTACCCGCTCTCTGCAGTAGGCTGCTCTCTTGCTACTCAGTGCTTGCTACTATGGGATAGGGGCAAGGAAGGGTAGCTCTCTGTTGTCTTGGTCCAGCCTCAAGACTTAAGCAGCCTCTCTGTCCCTCCATCTTGGGGGGTGGGGCTTTCTCAGTGATTTGCCCCTCCCCTATTAGTAGGTTTCCTGCCCTTCTTCAGGGCAGAGGGTTTTCTTTGCCTTTCCCCTATATCATGAAGTAACAAAGTTTGCTGCCATTCCTCCAAGGCCAGAGGCTTTTGACCTTTAGAGAAGAAGAGTCCAAGTCAGACTCAGATCTTTCCCACAGCAGCTCCTGCTCCTCCCTCCAAGTCTGCACTCCCAGAAGGGGGTACTCGTACCCATATACATTCTGCCATACCCCTAGTCTTCCTCCCACACCAGTCCCTAGAGAAACCCTAGGAGAACAGCCAGGAAATAAGTACAAGCTCCCTTTGTGTCTGTGACTCCGAGAGATCTAGACTCTGGTTCTAGACCCTACCTGGCCTTTAACAGTAGGTTAAAAACATTTGCCTAATTCTTTCCTATATGTTATTTCTATTATCTCTATATGATAGAAATACTATATAATGATGCCTACTATGCATCTCTTCCCACCTCCATGTTCACCAATAGCACACTGATAGCTTACAGTTGGTCATGGTGGGAATATTTATACCAAACAAATCAGTAAATGCTACAAATCAGAGTCTTTTACTTCTCAGAACCACTTGTTGACAACATTTACTAAATACCACTGTTTGGGGAAACCTCAGGAAGGTTGACTGTGGAGATTGGTGCCTTTGGCAGTGGCTCAGGGGCCTCTGGAATATTTTGGATTCAGCAGGGTCAGAGTGGCTGTGCTCAGGCCATCTCCTTTGCAGGGTAGTTTCCAGAGCGGCAGGGAGATTTCACCATGGGGAGGCCTCTCCATGTTAGAAGTGGTGTGGACTCATGCTCCCGCCCTCTCTCCCTCCTTCTCCCCACCAGACCGAAGCCAGGACAGCACAGCCGTGGCGCTCTCAGACTCCAGCTCAACGCAGGACTTCTTTAACGAGCCCACCAGCTCACTGGAAGGCTCCCGGAAACCCTATGCAGAGAAGAGGTTGCCCATGCTCAGTGCCCAAACAGGACCAACTGGTAAAGACCTTCAGGGGGCCACAGATGAAAGAGGTATGAAGACCTAAGTCAGTAAATTAGAACTGTTTTGGTGTCCTGTGGCAGTCTCGGCAGAGCTGAAGACCATGGGTCCAGCCTGGCTTCTGTCTTTATGCCTCTAGCTACTGCCCTAGGACCTTGATTGGTCAAATTACTCACTTCTCTGGGCCTCCACTGTTCTCCCTGTAAGATGGTAGTGATCTCAGTGCCCACTTCCAGGGTTCTCATTAAACAAGGCAGCTCCTGAAGGTGCTGGCACAGAGCCTGGTGCACCATGTGTGCTCAGTGACATTTGTTGTTGTTACTATGACCCCCACAGCCTAGCCTGGGAAAGCCATGTCCACAATGTCAGTATGCCCTATTTTTTTCTCCCTTGGTAAATGGTTATTTTAAAAAAAGTCCTTAGATTCTAAATGTCAAAAATGTGTTTTCTTTTTAGTCTAAATCACATCAAGGCTCTAGGAAAAAATCTCCTTTTCTAGGCAGAAGGCCCTGATTTAAGTCCAGGATATACCCAGCACTCTTAGGATCCCCAGACCCCTTTTGTAGAAATCAGGGGGCAGAACCCCACCTCTGGGCTTGCTGGGAGACCACAGGCAGGTCAGGGAATTTCTTGTGCTACTCTAAGGTTTTAGCTGATCAGCCATGGATTTTTGAAAACTTTCCCAGTCTGGCGAGAGCCAGGCATACAGGTGCTTACCAAACAATAGCAACAACAACTCTATTCTTGGTTGTCCTGGGCCAGGCACTGCTTTAACTCATTTGGTCCTCTTAATCACCCTAGGAAGAAAGCAGTATGACTGTTTCCATTTTACAGGTGAAGAATCTAAAATTTGGGGGACTAGGGTTGTGGCTCAGTGGTAGTGTGCTTACCTAGCATGTGTGAGGCATTGGGTTCAATTCTCAGCACCACATATAAACAAATAAAGGTTCATCAATAACTAATAAAATTTAAAAAAAAAAAAAAAAAAGGACCTAAAATTTTTTCATTTGCCTGAGGTCAGGCTTAGCCACTATCCTGTGCTGCCTTCTCCAGGTGAACTGGATGGGAGCAAGGGGATGATAGCCTAGTCACTGTGTTGATCCTAGATGGGAAGATTAAGATTTGGGAGCTCACCTGCAGGGGCAGCAATGGAAACAGAGCAGGAGGTGAGGCCTTATCCAGCTCTCTACTCCATGCTAGCCTTTGAAGGGGTGAGGCCACACCTGCTATAGGTGGAAAAAGTGACCCGATTAGCATCAGGTAAGAGATATGGAACCAGCGGACTTGCCAGATGGATTTACCTGTACCTTCCCCTTCGGAATTGAAGCCACTGCCCTGCCTTCTCACTAAGTAGATTTTTGCTATCACCAGGTAATATCAACACTCTGTAAACTGACAGAAAACATTGTAGGAAATTTAGAATGGGAAGGAACAAGTAATTTATCATCTCTACACTATTATACAGCATTACTGATCCTAAAAATCAGATTATTTTTACTCTTGGACAAGCAAGACCGATCATCTCTGTCTTGTGCCCCAGGCAGCAGTTAACTGATATAGATGCAAGACCGATCATCTCTGTCTTGTGCCCCAGGCAGCAGTTAACTGATATAGATGCTGTTGTCATTGTGAGCTTCTCTCTACCATATGTGGGGTGAGGGACCCGGTGGGGTGAAGTGGGGATTGAGGCAAGAATTTTGGCTTTGATTCACTCTAGCTTGTCCAGACCTTTCTAGATTTATAAGAAGCATCCTGCTTCTTCCATTCCAGTGGTTCAAGCCACAGTGTTTGGGGCTGGTAAAGAAAGGGTAGAAGCAAGTTATGACCTTGAAATGGTAGGCTTGAAATGAAGTATCTTGCTTCCACAGACATGTTCTTCTCCTCTAAGCCTAGCTTTTCCTGGGAACTGCAGTGGTAAAATTGATCAACTTCTTCTTTTAGAATAGTTGATGTACCAAGGAATGCATTGAGTCTGTACCCAGCAGACTGGCAGACAGTACCTAGTGCTGAGTACTCCTCTAGGCTTGGCCTTGACCAGTGGTAGCCTCTGGCACACTCTCCCCTGCATTCCTAGTGGGCTATAGTCCTGGCCACCATGATCTCTAGCCTTGAGTCCCTCTGTTTCTAGAGTTAAGGCAAACCAAGAACCTCACACATGCTAGGCAAGTTCTCTATCACTGAGCTGCATCCTCAACCTTTGAGCAGCTTTTGGCCTCCCTGAAAAAGCCAGAGCTTGGGTCAGTGCTGCATGTGCCCTAAGTGTCCTACATACCCCTCACCTTCCAGGCATGCCCTCATAGGCAACCTGCTGCTTCCTTCATGGCCCAAGTAGTGGGGCACAGGCCCTTGCTTACATATTTTGTGTCCATTATTGAGTAACAGGATGTAACAAGTACAGGTCTGTACCAGGCACTCAGTGCTGAGGGAAGCAGGAAAGAGCTGCCAAACATACCTTGCCTGGCTCTGAGCTGTACTTCTTCCTACTGTGTCCTGTGGGTATGAGCTGTCCTCCACACTGGTCTGTACCAGAATGCTTGAGGAAGGAGTCGAAGGAGTCTTTGCAAAGATGACTGCTGCAGCTAGCTGAAGCTCACCTTTGCAAAGATCAGAGTTTGTATTTTTTTTTATGATGATATTCTACATAGAAATAAGAAAAGCAGTTATAGAATTTATTTGGGAAAAAAAGCCTAGAATAGCCAAAGTAATCCTTAGTGAGAAAAGTGAAGCAGAAGGCATATCAATTGCTGACATTAAATTATACTACGGAATTATAATAACAAAAATTTCATGGTATTTACATAAAACCGAACACAAAGACCAATGTAACAGAATAGAAGATTCAGGGACAAACACACATAAATACAGTTATCTCATACTAGACAATGGCACCTAGAAGATACATTGGAGAAAAGATAGCTTCCTCAAAAAATGCTTCTGTGAAAACTGGAAATCCATATGCAATCAAATAAAAAAAATTATTTCTATCTCTAATCCTGCAAAAAAACTCAACTCAAAGTGGAGCAAGGACCTAGGCATTAGACAAGAGACCCTGTGCCTACTGAAAGGAAATGTAGTCCCAACTCTACATCATGTCAGCTTAGGAACTGATTTCCTCAACAAGACTCCCAAAGCACAAGAAGTTAAACATGGTGCATTCAGCACTAGGTACTGTCTGCCAGTCTGCTGGGTACAGACTCAATGCATTCCTTGGTACATCAACTATTCTAAAAGAAGAAGTTGATCAATTTTACCACTGCAGTTCCCAGGAAAAGCTAGGCTTAGAGGAGAAGAACATGTCTGTGGAAGCAAGATACTTCATTTCAAGCCTACCATTTCAAGGTCATAACTTGCTTCTACCCTTTCTTTACCAGTCCAGAATGTGAACATGGGAACAGTAAAGATTTATATTTTAATAGAGGAAAACATTGCCCACAATTTCACATTTAAACATGTGTGGCCCATGCAGTATACATCACAACCTGCCATACTACAGCCACATATTCCCCCTTCCTGATCAAATGGAGGCCTAAGTCACGGGCAGGGCAGGGTGAGGAGTGCTGAAGGTGGGAGAAGGCTGCTCACCTTTTGTGGGGGAACACCCCTACTGGGCTTTTATCTCAGACTAGTGGAATTTGGATAAGAAGATCTTATCAGTCAGGAGAAAGAAACTTGAGGTCTTTCTGTCAGGACAGATTTTGGCTTGGGCTTCTCTGCTGTTGGTATCTCTACAAGACATGTAGCCACCTCCGGTCAAGCTTTTCCATAATGAGGACCCTGAATTCAGGGGGCTGTTTATGCACATCCGCCCACAAGCTTTACTAGAGATCCTTTCCAGCCTTCCCAGGTAGCCCACCGTATACAGCCACTACTTCACTCTGGTGGGGTCCTGTGTTCTGGTGGCCTTGGCACCTATATAATGTTGTTGACTGTTCTTGTCAGCAACAGATCCCACCCAAGACTAGGTGACCAAAGGATGCATTTCTCTTGCTTTCTATTGAGAGGAAGAAATCTTCCCAGCTTCTTGCAGCTAGGGTTAGCACTAAACCTCCTGATTAGGAAGCATTTTGTGGCTTTGTTGACTTTTCTGACCCTCTTCCTTTCATCAAATAAATGGAGAATTCTGTTGACCTGTGAGGCTCATTCAGCAGTGGGAAGAGAGGCTGTGGATTTCTCCTCAAATTTTATCTCCCTTTGAGATTGCTGTTTTCTTTGTTTCTCGTGTGTCTTCAGATATGTGTTCTGCATTCTGTTTGGTTTAATTCTTGCCCTCTGCCTACTTTTTTTTTCTTTTTCTTTTTTAATAAAAACTGTATTCTTGTGTCTTTGTGTTTGAGAACTTAGTGCCTTTTTTTGTGCCCCTGGATGCTCTGCATCATCATCCAATTTTTCTATTTCCTTGGGGCCTCAGGGCTAGGCCCAGAGCCATTACTCTTACAGTGTATGTTGAGCCACATTTCAAACATACTGGAAACCTGGCACACTTTTATGTAAAATGCCGGTATCCCCTGCAAGATGATGCCAGCCTTAAGCTATGGGACCTAAGTAGCGTCCTGAGCCCACATGAGAGATTATAGCATCTAGACCAAATAGGACTTCCTGGTATTCAGTCATTCAGTCTGCTTCATATGGTGAAAGAGAGTAGATCTCAGTTAGGCTCTGGGCCACTGGGGAGGGGAGATGTTTTTATGCCGTCACTCTGCAAACTCTATCCTGAGGTGGGGAAGCCTAAGAGAGGCCACACCAAGTAGGGTACTGAGTGATACAAGTAAATGGGTGAGGAAGGGTAGAGAAGAAGGCAGGGTTCCAGGAAAAAGAATGACAGGGCAAATGCAGGGATACTGAAGGAGGTATTCTGAGTAGCTGGTCTCAGGGGAGCTGGAATGGCTGGTAGCTGAGAGGAGCACAGTCTCAATAAGAAGTGCAGTGATTGTCAAGCTTGCCACATACCTGATGTTCACCTGCTTGTGTTTAACTTGGTCCTTAGGACCTTAGTCTTTGCCCATACAAGAGACTCCAAGTGCCGCACCTACAGTAGATAGAGCACTGTCAGGGGCGTCAATCAGAAGGCATACTGCCTTCAGACTGGATGGTGTTAGCTGACTCCCTGGCCCCTTCCAGGCAAGTTGTACAAGATGTGCCAAATTCCCAGTGCTAAAGGAACTACCGGCCAAAGACCCTTTGGCCTTTGGCCTTTGTCCCCACCCCACTTCCTTCCATCATTTTCTCCTGAGCCAGATAGCCTCCTCAATCTGTAGCTAAGGAACCTGCACCTCAGGGACTATTAGCTTGAGGCCACCCAGCCTCTCTTGTCATCCTGGTACCCAACTTGGGTTTCTTCGGCTGCCTGACTCTGAGATGCCTAATGGAGGAGGGCTGGATGGTCACATTCCAGGCTTGCATCAAGTTGGGGCCTGTGTATAAGCACTCAATTCACATTGGAGCCCTGGAGAGTGATATTGAATAGATTTGTGGGCTGAGATACTGAGCAGAGGAACCGATATGACACTTGATGAGACTTTTCCTGGCTCTTTTATTTGATGGTGGTGGTGATAGCATCTGCCCTCTTTGGGCCACATTCCTATTGCACCAACACCATCCCTGAAGGTGGGACAGCCTATTCTGCCAAATATTCAGCGGGGAGGAATCAGATCCCAGTTTATAACTCCTGCTCTCTATAGCCTCTGGGCCCCTCTACTGCATGCCAGCTGGGATCTCCTGTTTCACAGGACAAGAGACCATGTGGCCACAGAGGCCTAAACCAATGGTGGCAAAGCCAGCACTCAGCCCTTCACCTCCCACTGCTGGGTCCAACATGGGCACTGAACCAACTCTTCCAGTTACCTCACTGAGTTGCCTCCACCACTGTTAATAGATTGCTGCATGAGCAGGTCCTAAAACCAGGGTGACTTTCTTTTGCTTCTCAACTGTAGGAAAGACTGAGGAGTCCTCAGAGAGCACAGAAGGCTTCCGGGCTGCAGAACACGGAGTCCAGAAACCTGCTGTAGACCCCCTGGCCTCTGGTTGTATTCCTGTCAAGGCCCCAGTGTCCACACCTGCTTTGTGGGATGGGAAGAAGAGGGGTGAACCCCCAGGGGAGCCAATGGCCTTCCCCCAGGGGCTCCCAGCTGATGCCGAAGAACAGCGCCAGTTCCTCACAGAGCAGTGCATCGCCTCTTTCCGCCTATGCCTGAGCCGCTTCCCCCAGCACTACAAGAGTCTCTATCGACTGGCCTTCCTCTATACCTACAGTAAGACCCACCGGGTGAGTGGACTTGGATCTTTTTCCAGGACAGACAGATCCTTGAAGGCTGATAGGTAGAACCTTAAGGAGTTTTGTGATAGGGCTCTGGTGACTCTCAGGGGAGGGATGGGAGAGGAGGGAATGGCCCTGCAGAGACAGCACCAACTTGTCCCAGGCCCCAGCCCTCCAACTATCAGCCTTCCCTGGGGTTCACCTCCCAGGCACAGCTGCCACAACAATCTTCAGGCTATTTCATGGGGGCTAGGTGTTGACAGCCTTCTCTGGCTCCTTTTAGAAAGCAACAGCTGTGCCTCAAGCTTAAGTGCCCCCAAGGGCTTCCCAGCCAGACCTCTTCTATTGGCATTTAGCATTTGTGGAGAGACTGAGGTGACTTCTTTTTTTCCTTCACTCACTCCACACTTACCCAGGAGGTAATGGAGAGACATTGCACCTGGTCATGGCACCTGCCCCATGTAGCTACGTTCTAAGAGATTTAGAACATTCAAATGTGCAAGCAAAGCATTTTGACCAATATTACAGAGAAAATTACAGGACACAGGCATGGGGGTAGTATAGTAGATCTGTGAAGGCAACTGTGCTGAGACCTGTGATGTAAGTAGCGGTTGGCAGCAGGCTAATTGAAAAAGAGAATGTCTATCTAGGATCAGCAGCCCCCAAAAGTAGATATGTGGTTGACAGCTAGAATGGGCAGGCAAGCAGAGAAGCCTGTGGGGGTCTCCTTGGGAGATTTGGCTCTCTGAACTCAGGCTTTTCTCCTAGAGGTCTCCTACTGTTGCCCCCACTCCCCAAGCCTTCCACTTTCTCTGTAGGATGTTTAAAGAACCAGGAAAGGCATTTGGCCAGAGAGATAGACCCTGACTTAGCACTGGTTACTTTAAAGAATTCTGTTTGGTAGACTAGCTCAAAGATCCAAAAGGGTACATGCCTTATCCCCTCAGTATCTGATCACTCATAGGGCTTGACCAGTTTCCCTTAAAGTTGGCCTCAGCAGGCCTGAGGAGGGAAGAGATCTTGTCCTCAGGGCCTTGGCCTCTGTGAAGTGTGTGCTGGCAAACAATAGCATGTTATGGCTTTCTCCATTACCCGCTGCCTGTTGCTGCTGCTCATGCCACATAGGAGCCTGGCCCACTCACTGCCTGACAGTGGACCACTGCCTCACATGGCAGTGGACCTTACCTCTCCACGCCAGGCCTTCTGTATCAAGAGTGGCCTGGGTTTTAATAAACTCCAACCATCTTGGATCTTCACTGATGAAGCAGTTTGCAGACCAGAGGGACAAGGACTGAGACATCATCCCCACCCCAATGTGATCATTGCCTTAGGAACTTTCTACCTAGTTCCTTTTGGGAATAGCAGAGCCCACTGCAAGAGCCCTCTTGGGTCTCAGTGAGAGGAACATTAGCAATCATCATTGGGTGTTCCCCTACTTTCCCAATGTAGCTGGTGTCAGCTCTGAACAAGACACAACCACTTCCTGGTGCTGAAGCTCAGACCCTTCCCCTGTGCTGTTGCAGGGCACCTTCCCCAAAGGAGATGATAAAATGGAATTTGGAGAACAAGATGGTTTGTAAGGATGAGTACCTGTGGAAGTGAGGGGGAGAATGCAGGATTTGTTGGGAGGAGAGGTGAGCTGCGATGCAGGCCTCATGATGTCCAGCCACCCAACCTCTGCTTCCTGCTAAAGGACTTTATTTGGAGCCTGGGGGAGCTGATATACATTAAGTGCTCAGCACAGTGCCAGGCAGAGGCTGTGGTGATTATATCCTGTCCTCCTCATTTGATGAGTTTTTTCAAAGTAGAAAATGGTATTTATGTCAAATTAAAGTAAAATAGAAGGGGGATAACCACACTTCTACTACTCTAAAACAAAAGCTATTTCATGTGTAATATTCCTTCTGGCTCTTGTGCACATGTACTTTTGATTGTGTGCTTTTAAGGCACTATTCGTTTTAGGGCCTATATGGCAGGGATCATATCCCCTTTACTTTACATCTGGAAACCCAGGCTCAATGTTATATGGGGCTGGGTTTCAAAGCCAGATATTGTTCCAGGTGGCCTCACTCAGGGCCCAGCAGCTCCATTACCCCCACTCTGTTAAGTGTGTCTACCTTAAGTGTGTCTTCCCATTTTTCTCTTCATATATGTCCCGAGGTCATTTTGGTCACTTTGTGATGGTCCGTGAACCATCCATGGGTCCATGGACCCAGTAGATCCAGCCATTCCCATTAGTAGGGAGAGAGGCTGCCTAGAACTATCTGCCCCACTGATGCCTGTGGCCCTGGGCAACTCCCACAATTGTCACAGTTGTTTCTTCCAACTCTTCTGTTAGTTATGTTCCTAAGTTGGTTTCCTTGGTTTTTGGAAGTGAAATGCTGGCCTTGGTTCTGAGATAAACCCCTTTTGTGGCAGATTCTCCCTTTCTATAGCTACACTGCCAACTCAGAACCTCAGGCATAGCCAGATGTGCTTCTGGTAGTCTCCAGGCCATCAAGTGCACGCCCTGGAACCTGATTGCTTGCCTGGGCCAGCTCCCATTGGCTTCTTTATCAGCTTTATCCAGGGACCTTTGCCACCAGTTGACACCACCAACTTGAATGGCAGGTTATTAGCATCTAGATCCACTGAAAACCTAAGTTAAAACCATCCTGTTACTCAGGATATGCCTGAGTCCTGGGGACAGGGCCTGAGTGTCAGTTCTGCTGGTAGCAGCTTGTCCACAAATCTGGGGACACAGCTCTTTCTGTTGCTGACTAATTCCAAACCATTAACTGGTAGCAATGACCACTTTCAAACATAGTTATTTGGTAACAAACACTTCACACTGTGTATATTTGAAGACAGCACATTTCTTCATAAAACCATGCCTGAGGGCTTGACAGTGACATTTTCTGGTTGCTGTCTTGTGGCTCAGTGGCCAACTGGGGTGCCAGAAGTCTGAGTCTTCAGAGGGACCCAGCAGATAGAGCCTGCTCAGGCCTGATGGTTGACTCCTGGCCCCTTAGATCTTTCACAGTGCCTTAGAAAGGGCATGGTTTGTTTCATAAGGATTTTGAGGAGAGAGAAAGAATGTGGGTTCTGAGGCTGCACTTTTTTGGGTTCAGATCCTGGCTTCATAGTGGGAACTTTTGGAGGCTCAGTGAAATTCTGTTCCAGGAGAATGCTGGTGATATGCATATAGAATTATTGTGATAACAAGGTGAAGGGTAGGGTTCCCTGGTAAAGCAGTCGACAGCTTTTCTTCCCTTCTAATTAGGGTGGGGTCTCAGCATCTCCATGGCTGCTTGCTCTTCTGCCAGGCCTTCTGAGAACTCTCTGCCTGGGGCAGGGTTACCAAAGGCCAGTATGCACCTGGAGGACAGCAGAGAGGAAAAACATGCCTACTGGCAGCTAGTGATGAGTCTAGGAAGAAAAATAAAGTGGATAAGGAGATGGAGGAGGAAGTTTGGCTATTGAGTCAGGGAGGTCAAAGAAGACCTATCTAAGCAAAGACCTGAATTACCTGATGGAGACCTGACAGCCATGGGGCATCAGGGCAGAGGCTGCCAGGTGGATGGCATAGCCAGCATGCCTGCCTTGATATAGAAACGGGTCTGGTGGGAAGTAATAGGCAAGAAGGAGGGGGAAGAGGGTGTGGTCAGAGGCCTGCTGGGGCCTAGTTAGGCAGGATGAATTGTGGAGACATCATTCCAAGTGAACTTCAAGCTATTGCAACAGAGGTGTCATGTAGCTTATATATATATAGTGAAAGATATTTGAGCTGCTGTAAAGACAGTGAAGGGTCAATTTAGAGAGCCTTGCCAATCAATGTATTCCAATTTCTTACGTTTAGCTTTTTCCAAACATGTAAAGTCTAATCACATTTTTTTTTCAATGATTAAAAGGATCAAACCACCAGGTCTGGGACTGGGATATATGTATCCTTCTGTTCTTACCCTCATGTAGTTACTGATGAGCATGGAGGTGTCCTGCATTTTGCTGGGTGAATCCATGTGAGGATGTATCCTCAGCTTTGTGAATGTCCCCAGCTCCATCAGAGTTCCCCAGAGTCTCTTGGCTCATGCAGCTCTGCACCCTGTAAGCTCCAACCAAGTCCCCTCAACCTGGGGAAACCAGGGCAGTGGTGGCTCCACAGGCTAAAGCCAGGACTTCTACCCATTCCTGATTCCTCTAATTGTTTTGGAACCCCTGAACCCCATCCCTTTCTTCAGACCAACTCCTGAGATATAACCAGGTAAAGAGCTGAGCCTGCCATCACACATGGTAGGCAGAAGGCCACTCTGCAGAGTCCCATCTTTCTCACAGAGAAGCTGGTCCTCCTCCCAGATGCATGCCAGGTAGTTCCCACACTTGGTATCATCATGTAGGGGTCATGGAACCTGGCCCTTATGAGCCCCACTCTGTCTTTCATAGATTTGTGAGAGAAGAGGTCATTAAGCAGTGAGTGAACCACTGTGATTGGTTGTAGCAGAGGGAGAGCTCCTGGGAGCAGAAACACAGGCAGAGCACATTTATCAGAACCACCTACATGGTAGGACTATAGGTGACCCCCTGTTAGAGATAACAGGGTATTGCAAGGAATCAAACATCTGCTCAGAAGTAGCTTAACAAGGCGAATTTTACTTCTGCCCACTTGGGTGGGCAGTCCACCTGTTTTTATCCCCAAGGAAGCACTGTCCCTTGCTCTGAAAGGAGGAGCTTGGGGTTACAATCTATACAATTGGCTAATTTTAAAATTGGGGTGGGCTAAGGGAAGGGCTATAAGTTACAGTGGCTGTAGTTGGATCTCAAAATGGCTATGATTGGCTCTTACATCCCAATTAAGGCTAAAATACTATATTCTGAAAATAGACCACCAAACTTTCTATTTCTCACACCCCAAGGACAGTAGCCCAGTTCTCCTGTTTCCTGCCATTAGCAATCATTGCTGAATCACTACTTCATGTAGAACTCTTGGTATAGTTAAAGACATAGGCTACCCTTCTCCAAGCCTTGATGTCCTGTATGAAAGGATATCCTTAGGGGCTCCCAAGAACTCTGGCAGTTAGCCCAATGGGTAATGTATTGAGACAATTAATGATAGGGTGGTACATGTTAGTAAGCAGACAGTTCAAGTAAAGCCTGCAGTCATGGACTGTCTCACTAGGGGAAGCCCAATGCTGAGCACCCTGGCTTTGAGTGGGGCCTAGGCTGCCCTACTCATGCCCTCTGGCCCCCTGTTGCCTCACTTGACACGTTTCTTCCTTGTTTCAGAAACTTAGTTTATGGAAGGTTTCCAGCCTCTTTTTAGGCACATAATATGTAGTCCTCTCCTTCCCTGATCTACTGCTGGCCCTTTCCTGCCTTTGAGCCTCAGATTGTTCCCTCGGCCTGATGTCTTCTTCTTTCCCATTTTATTTATTTATTTGTTTGTTTGTTTGTTTGTTTGTTTTTAACTTATTTATTTATTACTGGGAATGGCACCCAGGCATGCTTTACCCCTGAACTACATAGCCATCCCTTTTTATTTATGAGACAAGATCTCACTATACTGCCCAAGCTGACCTTGATTTATGATCTTCTTGCCTCAGCCTTCCAAGTCTGTGGGATTACAGCCATATACCACTGCATCCAGATTTCTTTTCCGTTTTCTGAAAGCATGAAACCTGCTCATCTTCATTTCATGCTCCCCACAAATATCTATTGCATCCCTCTGTGGGCTCTAAACTGATAGCTAACCCTTTGAGGAGCCACTAGTGAACAAGTCAGTCCATGGCCCTCTCCTGATGGGGTTGACAGCAAATCTGTCAGTGCCACTGCACAAGGTGGCAGTGACGCTGTGGGGACAGTATTGTGGGAGACTAGGTGGGGATCAGGCAAGATGGCACCAGGCTGAGGGACCTGTAGGGACTCAAGTGGGAGCAGAGGCAAGTGGGACTAGAGGACCATCTAATAGGGGAATAGGGAGAAGATGAACTGGCGTGTAGGCAAGGAAACTGAGGCATGGAGCTGGCCCTTGTTTTAAGGGAAATACAGCCTGAAGATTTTCAAGCAAGAGAGTTAGAAGGTCCTCTGCCTTCTGCTGGGGAGCTAGGATGGTACAAATGATGTATGGAGGAAGTCATTGAGGTGCCCATATACTTTCAGGATTCTTCTCTCTGCCTCTCATCAGCCACCCCTCAGCCTGTCCTCTGTTACAGTGGGGTCTATGCACAGGCTTCAGGGCTCACAAAACCCAGGAAGATATGTGTGCTTTCATCTGGTGAGTGGCTTCAAGGAGTTCTTCCCATTCCCAAAGGTATGGGCCAGTGCTTTGTAACAGGTTGCATGAGGCTTGAAAGAAGACTGTGGCCAGTTCAGCACATGCCCAGACAGGTTTGTAATGTGACTTGCTCACCTTTGGATGGGCAAGGAAAGAGCCCAGTCCTTAGAGTCTTTCTGGCATGGACCAAAGTGTGAAGCTATCTCTGTCATTTCCTGGCTCTGGGAGCTCAGGCAAGCCCTTGAATCTTCAGCCTGGGTTTCCTCATTGGTAAACTGTCACTTACCTGTGATGAGAAGTTATGGTGTTGTTTTCAGCCTGGGCAGCATTATGGTCACCTTGCCTCACCTTGAGATACTATGAAGCTGCAGGGTAAACTGTATGTCAGAGGACCACTGCCTCTCACAGAAGTCCAGTAAGGGCCTAACACAGACTCTTTCCCTTCCTCACTCCACCAGTCTGGCACCTGCCAGATCCCTCAACAGGTTTCCTGGACCCTGTCAGCTCCCATCCAAGGTGTCAGATGCGAATTAGCTGAAGCTCCCATGAGCTGTCTGGATACTCTGTGCCTTCACTATTAATTGGCTCTTTCTCTGGTGGGCCTTGGAGACAACTGGAGAAATGCACTCTTCACCAGTGCATAGTGGCCAAGTCTATCAGAGACTAATTGATAATCCAGGTTGGATTTGACAGGCCAATGCTTTTAGTACTTTTTGCAAGTGTCCTGAAACCTCTCACTGCCTTCCTCCTGATTCCTCCCTCCTCCCTAATCCATCCCAAGGGGAAAGGCCACTTGGTGTAGTTGTCACTACAGAAGCTGCAGAGTGGTGGAAAACAGTGTGGGTTCCCATTCTGTGACTATGGGACCTGTAGTGAAGTGCCCAGATCAGGAAGCAGTCTTCTCCTGTCTACCCTGGCCCCAGGGCTACTTTCTCTAGTGTCCCTAGCCAGAAGGAAATCTTTGTTGGGACCTTCTTTTCTTGGTTTTCATAGGAAAAGATGGCTACTATGGAGATGCTTCTTTAAGCCATGTTATTACATCTCCTGCCTCAAACTGCTGCTACTTAACAGGTCTTCTGGACATTTCTCACAAGTCCTGTGCTCCTGATCCAGGGGCCTGACTCAGGTGTCTTAAGAACTTGCTACTAAGATAACCCTCCTCCTCTTCTTGCTTCTGGGCCTCAAATGGGGCTACTGCCTACTGGAGAACCCCATCAATTCACCATGAAGGGATGCAGTCATCAGGCCTTGAAGCCCTGGAAAGGCCTTGAGGGTAAGAGAGGAAAAGTATCTTAGTAGGCCATGGCTACAGCTGGGAAGCTCTGATAGCAGCTGAGCTCAGTAAGAGTGATTCCAATGTGATCCTTGATAGAATTTTCTACTTGAGGCTCCCCTCACTATTCAGTTGGAATTGACTCTGCACATGATCTCAGTATGTCAGACTAGTGTCTGAGCAGGCACCAAGCCTTCCACATGCAAGGCCATGCTGACAGAGTGTCCTCTGTCTTGTCTGACAGGAACTATCCTTGCCCTCCTCCTGGCATTCTGGACTGTCCACAGCTCTCTAATCCTGCCTGCATGTTAAATTAGACCAGACAGAGCCTCAGTACTGCTTAGTCAGGGCAGCCTTGACTTTAAGAGAGCCTGGTCCTTCACCCACTCTGAAAGTCAGGCCTTGTCCCCACAGAAATTGACCTTGGAATTAATACTTGGACTTAACCATTCAGTCTTCCCTTGGGAGGTGGCTCTCTCCCTCAGACTTCCTTGGAAGAGCCAATTTTTTTTTTTTCTGCCATGAATATGTCATCCAGGAGATGCATACTTGGGACCTTACCTTGACCATACCAAGGGGCCCTTCATTCTTGTGTGGCCCACCTCCATACAGCTGCAGGTCCTACCTGATGTTAGGGAACAGCCTGCTGGGCATGGCCCTCTGTGTCAGAAGCTCAGAGGCTAGCAAGCATGGGCCTCACAACCAGCAAGCCAAGAGTCTGGATTTGTAATTTTCTTAACCTGATGATAGAGATAACAGTAAGTTCAGCCTGGCCAGCACAGGCTTGTAGGCCAAGAAATGAAGAGGGTGTTGGGAGCAGATGGAATATGAGGTGATGAAAGTGTAGACCCAGTGCTAAGAAAGATAAGCAAGGAGCCAACAGGGAGGAGAGGACTGATTGGCCTGAGAGAGTGGGTATGATAGAAAGGATAGGGGGTCCAGGCCTAGCTGTGCTCCCTGCAGTACCTCCCCTGTAGGATAGGTAGCACTGCCCTATGGTGGGCTATATGGCCAGGGTTCTAGTTCTCACTATTTAAGCACACTGTGGTACAGAACATAGAGGGAAGGATGCTGGCTAGGAAGCTGGTGAGAAAGGATTCCTCTCTAGGCTAGTAAAAAGACCCCAGAGAAAGTTTGAGGAAGCCAGATCCATGCCCATCCTCTCTCCCTGCCCCCACCTTCACCAGAGGCACCATTGCCCAGGGATCATGGGCCTGAGCACTATTGCCAGCCCTTTGAGTCTAAGGCAGCTTTATCTCTGGCTGTGAGTAGGGGTTTCAGTAAGAAAAACAAGTAAGAGCTGCTTTTGGGGGTAGTAGGAGGGTCCCCCCAGTAGCAAATGGGTACTGGGTCCACGTGGCAGGTTTTCAGGGTTGGTTAAAGGGAGGAGTCCCTCTGTGCCCATTTTGAGCAATCTGAGGCCACACTTCTCCTCTCAGTCAGCTCTACTAGATAAGAAATCAGTTCTGGAAATACATTCCATAGCTCAGTGGTCAAAGCCCATGGCCAGAACTGCCTGGAGCTGTGGGATCGATGTCTGCAAACTGCTGCTCATCTCAGTTTGCTAGTGCAGCCAGGAAGGAGCGGACTGCCTGCCTTCCCCATGGGCGCCCTGAACAGCCCACACACTCCTTTCCAACCTACTTCTTGTTTCCCCAGAACCTCCAGTGGGCCCGAGATGTGTTGCTAGGCAGCAGTATCCCATGGCAACAACTGCAGCACATGCCGGCACAGGGGCTCTTCTGTGAGAGGAACAAGACCAATTTCTTCAATGTGAGTACTTTGCCTTGTTGATTTCTGAGGCTTCTTGCTGACACTGCTTTTTATTGAAGGCACATGAATCAACCTCCTGGGCGGGCATTCCCAGGGCTACAGATTTGCAGCACCTTCAGAGGACAAGCAGGGTGGCGCAGGTGAGAGTGCACCAGACTCAGGCATGAGGCTGATTGCTGAGCGACTTCTGGCAAATCACTGTCCCTTCTGTGCCCTGGTTTGCTGTCTGCAGTGAGAGCAGAATGGATGACCCTGGTGTGTTCTCTGGAGTCCCAGGTATTCTGGAATAAGGCGGGCAGTGGTGAGAAGGGCTTTAGGTCACAGCCCTGATCCCTCTGGAGCAGTTCCACCTCCCACTTTGTGGTCTTGGGCACCAAGAGATTCTGACTACAGGTGACTCTACTGCTTAGAAAATAAGTTTGCCCAATGCTGGGCCTTCAGTACCCTTTTAGCCTTGCCATTCCATGTGGAGTGGAAACCCACTCCTTAGGCAAGAATGGCCCACTGCCCAGGCCTGTCTGCCTCCCATCCCAAAAGCCCACATCTGTCTTCCTTGATACCCTGCCAAGCCAAACCCTTCCTCTTTGTTCTGCCTTTCACAGACAACTGGCCCCTCACTCCTCTACCTCCAACTCCACATTCATCCTCCACCACCCTTCCTAGCATGGCCAGATCCCAGCTGAGTGGCTTTGATAAGTCACACAGTCCCTCTCACCTTTGTTTCTTATGTATTTTTCCCTGGTTTTCCAATATTCATAGAGAAACTGAAAAATGGAGTCAGCCTGAATTGGAGCTAAGAAGGCAGTTCTCAGAGGATATGACAGAAGTTGGTTCTCAGGTCCCATCTGGCTAGGTCTCAGACTGTGACCTTCTGAGTCTGGTTGGTACTCCAGAACCTGGGAATCCTATATCTGGGCACCTCTTTCTTTTGGTATTATATACAAATAGTAGCTGTCTTTGGTAATCATGGTACAAAGGAATTTGCCATGAAAAAGAAGCATGGTCTCACCCACATGCCCAGGCCATAGCCATATCCCACAGGAGCTACTATTCTTTGTCCCATGTGTGTCCTGCCTTTTGTTAGCTAGTTTGCATTTTAAAGAAGTAAAAGTACATATTTGTGCCCTCCTTCTGTTTTTTCATTGAAGAGCATCTCTTGGAGAGTGTTTAGCACTTGCTCATTCTATTCATTGATTGAGATGCTGAGAATCAAACTCWGGGCCTAAGCAAATTCTTTTCCACTGAGCTATATGCCTAGCCTGCTCAGTCTTTTTAATAACTGCACAGGACTCCTAAAATATGAATGCCCTATAGTTTATCTGCCTATTCCCTATTGATGGGCATTTACATTATTTTCAATCTTTTGTTTCTATAATGTTTTAATATATACCTAATTTTACATTTGTGGGAGCCCATTTATAGGATAAATACTGAAATCAAATTCCTAGGACAAAGAGTATGATACCTTTCAAGTAGATAACCACTCTCCAAAGAACTGGCCCACTTTCCCTTTAGACTCACGTTTTCAGACCTCATCAATTCTGTATTACTGACTTGGAAATATTTGCTCTTAAGTAGATGGAAATGCTATCTATCGTGTTTCATGTATTATGAGTGAGATTGACGATGATGATATCATGTTAAGTTTTAACTTCTGTTTAGTTCTACTCATGTTCATTTGTCTGTTGGATTATTGGTTCTTTTTTAATTGAAAGTGTGCCCATTTGGTAACATTTTTCTGCAGTTGATAGACCAAGCAAGTTTTTTAATTACCATGAGCTCTTGGGTTTACTTACCTTTTAAAGTGGGTTTCCATTACCTTGCCTCTCCTTGAAGAGTAATTGTAGGAACCAAGTTAAATGATGGGGTGGTATTCCTAATCCAGAATCTGGCACATGGTAGGTACTCAAGAAAATGGTTTCCTTTCCTCCTCTACTATTGGTGCTTTGCCCTTAAAGACAGTGCAGAAATATTGGAAGGAGAGGCCCAGTCTTCATGCCTGCCTCATGGGTGAGGCACTCAGCCTTTCTAATGCTGAAGTTAAGGAAACTGGTACCTCAGGTACTGGGTCAAATGGAGCACATCTGAGCTGGGGCCCAGTGCTCCAGGCCCCATTCCCACTAGGCTTACTCCTGGCAAGTTCCCTCATAGTTTCTGAGAACTTCTAGAAAATGAGTCCTACAGAAACACATTCAGAGATTGTATCAGCCAGAAGCCTCTGTAGAAAGCTGGACTGGTGTTTTGAGTGTTTTTTCCCTCTTCTGGGTCAGCTGCTTGTTCTTCCCGCAACCTGCTGTTTTTACTTCCTCAGCATCCCTCCCAGCCCCATCTGCTTTTTTAGCCTGGTGCCCAGCATGGCAGGAAGTGCTGGGCAGACCTTGAGCAGTCAGCACACAATTCTGTACAATGTCTTTTACTGGGTGTGAGGAAACTGTTTACTAACATGTTGATGGAGGAATATATAGGACAGCCCTCAGACACTACTGGGACAAAAACATGTCTCTTGAAAGATAGAGCTCTGGAATCCCATCTCACAGTGGTCCTTTATTTCCTGTGTCTGAGGACATCCTTCAAGGCTCAGTAATTGTCTTTGGACCCACTAAGATTTCCCCAGTCCACTTCTAAAAGCTCAAGGCCAGCTGTAGGTCAGGGTGGGCTAGCTAGCCCACTTTCCCTCCAGTGTGCAATGGGGTTTACTGCTTTGTTCTAGGGAAGGCAAAAGTGAGGTAGTGGGGACCAGCTCTTTTAAGGAGATTTCCTCCTTAAAAGGAGGTAGGTAGAGGTTGAGGGGCAGGGTTACCACATGCCCTGGCCTGCCATTGTTCCAGGCCCACTGACCTGGACCATTCGTGCTTCCCAGCCTCAGTGCCATTCACCCAACTATTTAGGCAGCCCCCGCATCTATCCCAACAGAAGGTGGGAAACCTTCCCATTATATTTTTAGTGACAATTTTTGAAAATTGTGTTGAGTCATATAGGACCATGTTGTCACTACAGACAGATACATAGAGGAGCTACATCCCCTTGTTTGCCCACCTCAGGCACTGTGCCCTTCTTAGAGGTGCTTCAGTGAGAGCACAACTGTTCTGTTTCTGAAAACATGTATGTGTGCATATGTGAATATGTCATAATGTGTGTTCTTTGGCAGCTTGCTCTTTTCACTGACGTGAAATCTTGGGTTTCCATGTGAGAAGTTCAGGCCATTTTGTTCTTAGCAATTGCTGCCCTCTCCTTGGGTGGGCACATGGATAGGCCCTGTATTTGCTCTCACAGCATCCTAGGGCATATATTCTTGTGTTGCTGCTATGTTGTGTGAGTCTCCTGGTCTGGTCGAGCCTGACCCAGAGAAGGTGCTTATGGAGAATTTCTGGATAGATTTCAACTCGTTTCCCTTGATAGATGGCTTCCAAGCACATTGTCTGGTCTATTTAGTGCTGAATACAGTAGATGACAGGGAGATCTTTGGCCCCTGCCACAAGACACAGAAGGCTTATGATAGAGCCCCTCAGGGCCTTTCTGCAGGGCCTCTGTTGGATGTTATAGGCCATGTGGGAGGTCAGGGTGCTGCTTAGCTAGGAAGTAGGCAGGAGAGAAGGGTCAGGATTATTTGTACTTTTGGTGTTTAGCTTTTTGAGGTCTTTTTATATACCCTAGAGATTAGTGCTCTATCTGATATGTGAGGGATAAAAATTTGCTCCAAGATGTAGGCTTTCTATTCAACTCACAGATTGTTTCTTTTGCTGAGAAGAAAATTTTAGTTTGAATCCATCCCATTTATTGATTGTTGATTTTAATTCTTGCACTGTAGGAGTCTTATTAAGGAAGTTGGGGCCTAATCCCACATGATGAAGATTAGGCACTACTTTTTCATTTTTAGACTCAAGGTTTCTGGTTTAATTCCTAGGTTCTTGATCCACTTTGAGTTGAGTTTTGTGCATGGTGAGAGATAGGGGTTTAATTTCATTTTGTTGCATATGGATTTCCAGAAGGGCCAAGCTCCTCAGGCTGGACCCTCCCTTAGGTAAGTGACTGAGCCTTCTTGGGAAAGAATGGATGCTAAGGGACATGGGTGAATGGGACCTTAGGTTCTAACATTCCAGACAAGAAACGTTCCACCCCCAGCCCTTGCACGTGGGACCTGCCCTACTGTTGTCTGGTCCCCTGCAGTGGCAGACATGGTGTGCATTAAGCCCAGTGGTGTGGGTTGGACCTGTGGATGAGTGAGGGAGGAATAAACTTTGTGCATATTCATTCCCACTGTTTTGTACACTGACTGAACCAGCATCCTTAGAGAAAGAACAGCTCCCCACCTAGCCTTTTCCTGCCACCTGATCTCTGCTGTGGAAAATCCTGCTTGTGGGTATTCAAGCTAAGGCAGGAGCATGCCAAAGCTCCTGGGCTGAGGCTCCTACACCACAATAAGCTGACATCCCCAGCAAAGGCCCCCTTTTCACCAGTCCTCTCTTACCAGCAGAATAGTCTAGTCTGTGCCAAAACAGAGCCAGAGTTATTGGATATTGTTGGTTAGGGCCAACCAGGACACTATTGCCCAATCTTTCAAAGCCTCAGGAAGGGCTGGCAAAAAGCACTGGCCATGTGATTCAAAGGTCTTAAGCCAGTTGTACAGAAAAGGAAGTCCAGGAAAGACACAGAGGCCTGGGGTGGGAGGCAATGAGACTGAAATTGCACCTGTAGGCATAGGATAGTCCCTCTCCTTTATCAGTCAAGTCCAAAGGGGCTACAGAGAATGGAACCAGGGGTTTATCCTTCCCTGGGCAGAAGAGGCCAGAAAAGCACATGCCAAGTTGGATGGCACGTGTTTCTGGGTGACTGTCCATTCCAATGAAGTTAAAATCTTGTTTCTGGGTCCCTAGAAACTTCTTGGGCTTCCTGTGCAAGCAGTGCACCCTGGGAAGGCAAGCCTGTGGGGGCTGGGGCCAAGCTCCTTTGTCCAGAGTGAACCCCTTTCCCTATCTTGTAGTTGATTCAGAAATAATCTC